TTTAGAATCACTAGGTTATGATAAAAAAATGTTACCAACACTTTTCCTATCTATCTATATATAAGTTTATAACTTTATATGTTAGTGCAAGGTAAAAACTATTGATTTTTTTGGCAGGACTAATGGAAATTAACAAATAATTATATGTAAAATAATAAATAGTTTTTTATAGTTATCACTTGATATATTACATTAATTTCTTCATTAAAAAATGATAAAAAATTACAATAAATTTAAGACACTTAGTAATACTAATAAGATAAAAAAAATGACTAACAACTAAGATAACATAGTTTTAAAAGTACATAAATAAATAAATAAATATGACTAACAACTTAGTTTTAAAAATATTAATTTTCTGTTACAAGATAATTGATTTAGTAATTACGTTACTTAAGTCTAAAACAAACATCCAACTAACTATAGTTGGCTTTGTTTGAATTTGAAGTTAAAAAAAAAAGTAAATCCATCTAATCTAATTTAATTAGCTTGGTTTAGAGTATTAAATTTATTGAGTCAAATTAATTCGATGAACACTTCTATTAATAATTATAATTTGATATATTAAAATTTACACAATTTATTTTAAGATAAAATGAGATAAATACTAAAATGTGAAGACCTACTTATTTAAATGATAACATGGATCAACAATTTATAAAAAAACTAATTTATTATTTGAGCATGTCTGGATTCAATGAAATCGATGAGATAATACTTCACCTAAACATATAGTTATATAGTTCAAAATTATAAAATGATCTTCATTTATTAGTTTGACATATTCCACATTAATTTGGCTGAGATTTTCATTTTATTGTAATTTATCCAACCTAACCTAACACATGTTTGTAAATGAAGAAGATGCGTAAGATAAATTTAAGAAAAGTTCATCTTTGCCAATCATTTTTATTCTATATATCTATTAAATAACTACACATATTAATACAATAATAATATTTAATATAATATTATTTTTTATAGTTGTTGTATCAATATATCATGTCTTATAATAAATTTATTAGGTTGAGTCAATTTAGTGACATCTTTTATTTTTAAATGTTTTCTTATAGTTATTATAATCTATCAACAAATTGTTTATGGTTTTGAAATTTTGTCTAACTGTATTTGATGCGAAGTATTTGTATGATTTTATTTAATAATTAATGTATTATTTCTTTAAGGTTTATATATTTTTTTTAATTTTATTTAGAGTAACGATATATGTATAATTTTTTTTAATGTTAAGCAGAACGAAGGAGAAGACCAACTGAGTTGCACCCTAAAACTCATCAATTTTATGTTTAGAGAGTAGAATAAATGAAAAACAAAAACAAAAATGGGGAATCATATCAAAACCCATAAGTGCAGTTAGTAAAATCTAAATTCTGAAAGATTAGACCTATTTGTAAAAAAATTCATTGTGATACATGTAGGCATGAAGAAATTTTGTCAATTCCCAGGTTGACTACTCTGTCCGCACATTTGTTACCTTCTTCCAATATATGATATACAGAAAAAGAAAATAAAGATTTTACTTGATCCATACATATAAACCCTTTTGCCACGAAGCTTAATAATAATAATAATAATAATAATCGTGTAAAACAATTTTAATGATATAAATTATTTTACAGTCACTATTAAACTCAATAAATAGTTAGAAAAAATGAGCGGCACATAGTATATGTTGAAGTTAATTGTTCAAACTACGCATGCAGTTCCTTATGTGAGAACCTACAGAGAGAAAGTATAGTGTATAATGAGGAAAGATGGACATCTAATCAACAACTTTGGGGTAAAATGAGTTATTTAAATATCAGAGTGCAACCGTACAAAACGTAAGGAATCAAAGGGAATGCTTAAACGCCATTCTCTTTGCTTTTTATTCAGTGGTCTTCCTTTCCCTGATTTCTGTCTGTTGACTTTCACATCTGCTAAACCCCAGGTGCCACATCTTTTTTCAATGTCAAATGATTCAAGCATGAAGACACCATCACTTTCGGCAGCCTGGTTCTTTGAATCATCATTAATGACATATTTCACATACATGGGTCGGTCTTTGAATCGATCTAGGTCATCTGGAATCCGAACTATTCTTTCAACACCGGGAGAAGACACCTGAAGGAACACATATCAGATAAACGCTAATAGAATCTGAATCAATAACATGAAACGTTGATGATCAAAATTCCAATACCTTAGCATCATCCTCTAAAATAAAGAGAGAAAAACATAACCTTGGCCCCTTAAGAGCATTCAAATCATTACTTCAATGTTTTAAAAACAGTATCCGGAGTTGTATGTGGATTTTATTAGGACAGAACAGTACTTCATAACTTGTGCATATAAATAACTATCATAGCGATGACATCGTATTCTATCTCTTCCCCAAGAATAACACAAAATGTCAACAAGACACTTGAAATGGTACCTCCAAACTTAAATTGTCAGGAACAGATTTGGCAAGTTCTGCTTCATCCAATTTTGCTCTATAAGTTGCAGAGAAGGCTTCAATGTCTTCCATGCTGGGGGAACCAGACCTATAGGCAGAACACAATAATTAAGCCAGACATCCATGATAATCAGCAACTTTAGCAGCAGTTTAAGCAAACATGGAACAATATTTCAAGCCACAAATTGCATTGTGTGAAAAATGAAATGATGCAGATCACTGAGACTTGGTTAGCGCATACTTAGTTAGCCAAAAGTTCATTCACTGAGCAGTGTACAGATAGGGGATTTTGCATTCATAACTGTCATAAATGAGGCACTTTGCATCATCAATCCAATGCACTTAGAAACACGTGATATAATCCTAAAAGTCCTCAAACCTTTTCTTACTTCTTTAGGAGAGAAGATGTAAAAGGAATGCTTCTTTGCGACAAGCTACACATTCCCTAAAATATGCAAGTAAAAGGGGCCACGCAAATGGTGGATACAAATAAAGTGCACTCAACTTCAGCATTTCCATTTTCTGTAGTGAGATCTTTACAAATAAAATTGCATCAATTCTCCACATCCTTATAATGGTTATACATTCTGCAATTTGGCCTAACAAACTATCTCAGTATACCAGAAATAATCCTCAAGACATGTTATATAGTACAGCAATTCTAGGGAAGAAACATTGTTATATAGTACAACACCACACTAGTTATATGTATGCATTCCTAAAATTCCCTAGATATTTAGATTTGTTGTTTAAACCTCAAGTATCCTCCCGCCAGACAAAGACTAATAATGAAGGTATGCATTAAGGGGTTGGCTTCTTCCAACAGATACTTGTCTATACACATAAAGATCAGGATTGAACATCTAATTACATGCTTAAGGTGCAAGGTTACTTATAAATAAGTATAATTTCATAGACAATTGGAAATCCAACGTTATATTATTATTTATATGAATAATTTAAAAAAGAATAGTATATCCGATCCCACAATTACAAAGAAAAGATTCATCACAAACCGTTCCGAATAATATATGCCTTTATTCAAAACAACAATTCAATAATAAAACTTAGCAAACTAATAATGTCTGCTTGTTCAAGGAGGTATAGCTAAATCTGAATCAGGAAGGAATTATTCAGTCACGAACTGACAGACAAAACCACACGTGCGGTGGCCTAGCTTTCCTTGTTATTTAATCTGATCAAATTGTTTACATTTGAATATTTGATACCATAATAATAAAAACGAAAAGAAGAAGAATTTAGTCTTACTTTTTGGAAAGGTTCTCAATGCGCACTTGAATGGTGGAGTTGAGAAGTGTTTTAAAAGCATAAATTTGCAATTCGCCATTGAAAGAGAGAGTGACCTCTTTAGCAATGGCTAGTGCTTTTTTATCCCACCATGTGCCGGCGAGGGAGATTCCGCCTCCTGCGCCGCCATCACCTGCCTTTAAAACGTTCTAAGTCAATAAATCATATCATTTCCCCCAACCAAAACACACATTTATCAATCTAATTTCCAACAAAAAAACTTACATAAGGAACACCAGCCTCCTCTTCGTATTCTTCTTCTTCGTCATAGAATTCGTCATCGTCACCGTCGTCTTCAACATCATCATCCGACACTGTCTCTGCGCAATGAAACGAAAACTTCAGATGAGTTCGAAAAGAGAGAAAAACGATTAAATTTCAGAAACTGAGCGCATTTTTACCGTATTCAAATTCGTCGAGGAATTTTTCTTCTTCTTCTTCTTCTTCTTCGGATGATAGTTCTTGGACAATGGAGGGTTCTAGAAGCGGCTCTGAATCAGAGTCTCTCTTTCTGCCACGTGAAATTGGAGTGAAAGGCTTTCTACGGGTGCTTGTAGAAGTGCAAAACTGACAAGAGAGTTTTGTTGTAGATAGAGGAGAGGCACGGAAGCTAACACCAGTAACAGTGATAAGTGGTGGTGAGGGAATTGCACCTACGCAAGGGTTCAACCTCAAAGCCTTGATCAAATCCATTCAGCACCAAGACTGACAGGGCAAAACAGCAAAAGGTGACATCAATTCTAAAAACCGGGCTTGTGTAATCAAATCCACAGGCCCAAGCCCATACGTTTTCTTTCCCCTTTTGTTCTCTATTTTATCTTTTATAAATGTTTATTACAAAAGAGAGCAAACCATGAATAAAATTAAATATTTTAATTACACAAATTTTTTGAGTGGGAATTAAAAAAAAATAAAAAATAACACTGTCTATGTTTTGATTCACGTATAAGAAAGATAGATGACATTTGACAAAGTAAGGGATTGGAATATATATTACTTAAAAAAAAAAAAAAAAAAGAGGAATTGCAATAAAAATTGTCATAAAGACAAGAACCAACTTGTAAAACGGTGCGTTGGGGCGAAGCGCTAGTCGTCCTCGTTCGTCGTGGATCTGAATTCTGAATTGAGAACTTCGAACCCCTGCGCTTCCGTGCTCCTTGATTCGCCTACGCTGCAGCTGAACTGGTTAATCGATTCGTCTTTACGGAGAGATTCTAGTCTTACACACACACACAAGATGGTGGTCACATCCTCCGCTCGTGATTACATCAACCGCATCTTGCAAGACATCTCCGGCATGAAGGTTCTAATCCTTGATTCTCAAACGGTACTGCACCTTCCTTCAACGATCTTCCACAATGTTTGGAAATCCGATCAGAATATCAACCTATCGAATTTCTTTTCGTTTTTCTTTTGAACAAAAATCACTTGTGTTGCTCACAATTGGCACGATTTTTTCGTCATTCTTTATATAGTTTTTCAATTTTCCTCTGGATTTTAGACAACTAAGTGCCACTCGTGGTAGTTCGAATTATCTATTTATTGGATTGAGATCACTGAGCAATGACGGTGAGACTCCACATTATATGAACATATTTGTATTTTTCATTAATGAAACAAAATTATGGGACTTCCTACATTTGGCAATTGTAATGGATTGACTTATTATGATGATATTTGTCTCTTTTGACATCATTCTTATGAGCTATAATGTTGATACGTTTGTGTAGAGTCATTCTCTGAGGTTTTATGGCATAGAAACCAAAGAATGATTTATGATTTGGCTTATACTATTTTGTTTTACTTTATCAAAATCATAAGTCAACCTTCCAAACGGACTTGGTTCGTAGAATCTATTTGCTTGTACTTGTTTAGGAGGAAAATGGTGCTCTGATGTTGAGTCCACTCTTTTGACAAATTGATGCAGGTAGGTGTTGTGAGTGTTGTGTATTCGCAGTCAGAGCTTCTCCAGAAAGAAGTGTTTTTGGTTGAGTTGGTAGATTCTATTTCCAAGTCGAAGGAATCAATGTCGCATCTCAAGGCCGTTTACTTCCTTCGACCTACATCAGAGAATATCCAGCTTTTGCGCCGCCAGCTGGCTAGTCCTAGATTTGGAGAGTATCACCTATGTAGGTTCTTTAAATTTTTTTGCTGGAATCTTAGATAAGTTACGGTGGAGTCCTTCGTTTAGAATTTAATTTTTTATTTTCCCTTGTTTAATTAGTAATTTTCTTCCATTGATTTGAAGACACTTTGTGAATCCATTCTGAAATTACAGTTTTCTCCAACATAATGAAGGACACTCAGATTCACATACTTGCTGATTCAGATGAACAGGAAGTTGTCCAGCAAGTTCAGGTAGCTGTTTATGCATGCACTGTACTGCATTTTTTTTTTCCTCACTCGGATTTGAACCTTTGCGATAACCATTTTATAGTCTTTTTGAACTGCATTGTAATTTTGTGATGACAGATGCTTGTCTGAGAATACATTTTAAAATAGTCAGATAATTTGATTGTATGACACAAATAATATTACAAGTTCACATGAACAAAATCCTGCATCGAACATGGAAGGATATCTGCTTCTTTCTTGTCTCTCCTATAATTGCATGCTTTGCATTCTTTATCTGGCAAATGGCTCCATATTTGTTGATCATGAAGCATTCATCCCCTTCCCTTCAAACACTCTCTGTGTTGCAGTGCAAGGTTTGTGTTGCAAGACTTTAATTTTGACAAGTTGTTGTCATGATCACCCAGGAGTTCTATGCAGATTTTGTTGCAATTGATCCTTATCATTTCACTTTCCACGTGCCTTCACATCACATATATATGCTCCCAGCTGTGGTAGATCCTTCAACAGTGCAGCACTTCTGTGACCGAGTTGTTGATGGTCTCGCAGCTGTCTTTTTGGCTTTAAAACGCAGACCAGTAATTAGGTATCAAAGGACATCTGATATTGCGAAAAGGATAGCACAGGAAGCATCTGTAAGTTCAAGTTACATTTTCTAACTTGCTGCATTTTCTTTTATGTTAAATAATTATATATGCATTTGAGAAATGTGGTTTTCAGTTTCTGCAATGAATTCAAGCTTTTATATCTTTATCATTTATATGATTCTGAATCAGATAGAGCTTTTCTTTGAGCGGATGCATACTGTGACACATAGTCAGTTATTTAGGCTGGCATTCTGGCTATGTGTGTATGACAACATGTCATATTTGTAATTAATGATGGTTCAGGCATACATAGTGAAAGCTAATTTACATTACTGGGCTTGAACAGAAACTGATGTACCAGGAGGAAAGTGGTCTCTTTGATTTTAGGCGAATGGAAGTTTCTCCACTGTTGTTAGTGATTGACAGGAGGGATGATCCTGTCACACCATTGCTAAATCAATGGACCTATCAGGTATCTGGGAGATTAACACAAGTCTAGTGCTTATAATGTGTAAGTTGTTTATTCATATAAGCAATGCTCATTGTGGTGTTATACTGTACAGGCTATGGTTCATGAATTAATAGGAATCCAAGACAACAAAGTGGACTTAAAATCCATTGGTAATTTTCCAAAGGAACAGGAGGTTAGATACATTTCTTACACTGGGTTGTTATGTTATAAGTGTATTGCAGTACAGAACTTGTGCTCATTAAAATGCAATTTTTTGCTATTTCTTGTTACAGGAGGTTGTGTTGTCATCAGAACAAGATTCCTTTTTCAAAGCTAACATGTATGAGAATTTTGGAGATATAGGTATGAATATCAAGAGGATGGTTGATGAATTTCAGCAAGTGTCAAAAAGTAACCAGAACATCCAAACAATAGGTTTGTATTTGTTTATCCTCTCTCATCAGAGTAAAACTTTCCTTCACCTGTTACAATAACATAGGTAAAAACTTATTTATACTTGGTGGCATAGTATAAATTTCACTAATTTTATGATTTGACTATGACAGAGGACATGGCCAAATTTGTTGATAATTATCCCGAGTACAGAAAAATGCATGGAAATGTAACCAAACATGTGACTTTAGTAACTGAAATGAGCAAGATAGTTGATGAGCGAAAACTTATGTTAGTTTCACAAACAGAACAGGAGTTGGCTTGCAATGGAGGACAAGGAGCTGTTTTTGAGGTATATATTATATAGTCTTATTCTATTGAAACATTCTCGTTTGCTTTTGCTCAAATTTCAGAAGTTCTTGTTAGGCAATGGAATAAAACTTAAATTGATTTTTTTAGTCCCTGGGCTATTAGGAAATATTTAAATATGTCCCTACTACACTTTAAAAAATTGTCATTGGGTCCTTGAACTTATAAATAAATTTTCATTGGGTCCTTCGGTGAGGTTCTCATAGGGACCGAATTGAAAAATAAGAATTGAATGTATTACTTATATTGAAGTAGTCAATGAATCCAGAGGAATGATTCTCTGTTACGGTATTCACCTAAGAGTTGGTCAGTAATGGATGTGACCTGATAGGTTGGCATAGTAGTTATACATTTTGCACTCGCATATCATGGGCACGGTTCATGTAGTGGGGAATCAGTATTTGATCTCCACCTTGTGCAGAAACTCGTTCAGCCAGCAACTATCACAATAATGTAAGCAGGATTAGTATTTGGCTCATTGGGCTGGGAGAATCCTATGACAAGAACAAAAACAAGTTGAAGAAACAGGAGAATCCTTTCAAATTTTGCTATGAATATTGTAACTTGTTTCTTTTGTGTTCTGCACATGGGATTTGTTGCAATATTTCTTTCAGAAGTTCTGAGAATCAGAAAATTAATCTATGATAGTTTTTTATTTGAGTTCAAAAATTTGTTAGAACGTGGATGTTATCCCTCTTGTGATTAGTATACGTACTCTATTCTGTCTTCATTAACTTCATATGATACCCTAAGAATTCAAAATCTTCATGTGTTCCCTCAGTAGTTACTAATTTTCATGGATTAAATCAGTTATTGTGATGTACCCTGTAATCACATACTCTGTTATGTGGAACTTCTTCATCCACATTTGAATTCACAGCAATGATATGAAGTATATTAGCAATCAACGGTGACGTATAAGATTAAACAAATTCTTGAATAATATTCATCTTATTAGTTTGGTTTCACTTGGCCAAAAAATTCATGTGTAACACAACAGATTATATGCTGTATGAAATGATCTTATTATTACGATCCCACCACCACCACCACATACAAAAGTTTTCTTTTCCAATTTTCCTTGTATTTTTTTAAATGAAAAATGTTAGTTGTTAATATGTTAGTTTTTGTTAGCAAGGGACACAAACTCATGACCTATCCTGCCTTTTTTCCACTTTTCCCACCATGTTAAACTTATATCCCTCTATTTTTCCTAATTAATTGCTATTATGTGTACTGATGAATGCTTAAACGTGGTAAGATATGTCTCTAATGTAATCTTCTGCAGGCAGTGACAAATCTGCTAAACAATGAAAGCATATCAGATGTGGACCGACTACGTTTGGTCATGTTGTATGCCTTACGTTATGAGAAAGATAGCCCTGTTCAACTAATGCAGCTCTTCAACAAACTTTCCAGATCTGCCAAGTACAAACCTGGGGTAAACTAATTTGAACTGTTCATTTTCTTCTTAAATCCATTACTCCCACGCAAGATTGTCTGAATGTTAGTCTTTAAACCTTATGGGGGAACATTTACTTATAATCCTTGGATAATTGAGTAGTGATGGAGATATCTTTGATGTTGTGATGTCTTTCCATGTCACACTGGCTTTGGATTCTCAGTAGAAATTTACATTCAAATGGACTCAAATTCATATTTAAAAAATCATATAGATGGATGCCACTGTTGTTTTTGATATGGTTACACGAGAAAGTTACTGACATTGATATCGTTATTGTGGTGCAACAGCTTGTGCAGTTTCTTCTGAAGCAAGCAGGTGTTGACAAAAGAACGGGTGATCTTTTTGGAAATCGAGATCTAATGAATATTGCTCGGAACATGGCTCGTGGTTTGAAGGTAAGCATAGAGATATATGATTATCATACATGATCCAACTCTTTAAACTTAAAAAAATCTTGCATTCTGAGCTTTTGTGTAGGGTGTTGAGAATGTTTATACCCAGCATCAGCCACTTCTGTTTCAAATCATGGAAAGCATTGTTAAAGGGAGATTGAGAGATGTGGACTACCCTTTTGTTGGAAATCACTATCAACAGGGAAGGTTTGTTGCTATTAAATATAAACTCTTCAATGTATCTTATTTGTGCATTTCTAGATGTAATTTTGTGTCTATCCAAAAGTGATGCGACTACATTTTTACCTGATTTCTAAATAATGTGGTAATAATTGAAGTGACAATAACAGTTACAAAATTCTCAGTTTTTAGCACTGACTATTTTTATTAAATTGATTTAAAATATTATTCCAAATGTCTGAAATGTAATGTGGCACCGCATATGTGATAAGTTGTGTTGGAAATTCAACATTTAATAGGGTGTGAGAAGATCAACTTTGGGGGATTGCTATTTTGATCCGTGAGAGCAAATTATTACCTGAGTTTTTTTGTAGTAGGTTCATACACTTAATGAGTACAGGATTCTGCAATTCTTTCAGTATCACACTTTCAGTTTATTTTATCCATATTACAGATACAGGTCTCTGAGGGAAGACAAATATTAATTCTGTTCTTCCATTCATAAGAAGTTTTAATAACCTTAAGCTATGTGTGGTTACCGTATAAAACCTATGCAATGTGGTAGCATTGACATCACATGATTTTATTCTTTGTAGCTTCGGCCCATGGTCTATACTTTCAATACCCTCTCACTGACCTGTAACTTGCGCATTCTGTTAAATGTGTTGTGTTCAATTAACAGCTGCTAGAGTAAACTATATTTTTGTAGTTAATCTGGTTAGTTATCTGATAATGGTATTCTAGATCTATCAGAATTTTATGCGCTATTTTAAGAAGTATTATTTAGAAGTTTGGAAATATTTAATGCAAAGTTCTGTTTAATATCTGTTCAACATCTTGAGTCGCTCGCAAATCATCTAGGAAAGGGATTTTTTACTAGTATACACACAGTTCATTTGTAATAGAAGCTTTTAATTTTTATTAATAGCTTTATTGACATAGAATTAGTAAATAATCAAATCTCTGTTATTGACGAATATATGAAAAGCAGGCCGCAGGATGTGATCATCTTCATTGTTGGTGGGACAACATATGAGGAGTCTCGGTGTGTTGCTTTACAAAATGCCAACAATACCGGCATTCGTTTTATTCTCGGTGGCTCTTCTGTTCTTAATTCTAAAAGGTATGATTAAGTCAAAAAGATAGTTTGGAATTTATTAGTGGAGATGTTCACTTTTGATTATGATTTCAATTTGGCGTGACAGAATTGATACTGGTTTTTTAATTGTTCCAATTTTATCTCATGTAATGTGTCAACTGCAAAAACTTGAAGTAGTTATAATTTGGGCTAATTAATCGTTTTAAATATTGCTTGGATTGAGTTATTGACCTAGGTTTAGGTGATAAAGTTTATTGCTTAGCTGGTCTTCAATTTGTCTTACAAATAGATGGCTTTGTTATAATTGATTATTCATTGGTTGGTTCAGGGTGCTTTAGTTAACTGCAAAAAAATTCAACTTGATCTGCACTATGTAACATTCTGAATTTCTTAGCAGCATAGATGTTTTTCTATTTGAATTTATAGGTTTTTAAGGGACTTGGAAGAAGCTCAAAGGGTAGCTCGTTCTAGCACTTCTGTTTGAAGTTTAGCTTGGCACATTTTGCATCTCGAGGGCCAGATAGATATAGTTTTTACAACTTCAAGCTGGGGATTTCTGCTTCGGACCCATGTATATGTATTAAAAGATGTTGCAGACGGAGCTTGATGTGCGGAATCAGACTTAATCCATTGTTGCTACTGAAGATCATCATCAACCATTTTACAGTTAGGTACTAGTTGGTTCGTTGCGGATGAATGCGATTTGCGATCTAAAGTATGAGAACTTCAAGGACAAGCCATCCTCCCCTCTCTTTTGTTCGTGGGGGGAAAAGTCGACGCGGAAAGTATAGGTGCATGAAAGAAACCTTTTTGTCTAATTTTTGGTCATCTTTTTGCTGATCAAATCTAATGGTTTTATCGACACTTGCTAATGAAATAACAGTTTTGTATAATCATGTAATGAATGTCCAATTCTTTTGTATACCATCCACTTGTAGATTTACGGATCCATAATAAGTTGGTTGTGAGTCTATGTTGTGATTAATATCATTTATTATACAATGCACTTATTCATGCCATTTTGTCTGTTAGAACAAGTTCCTTTTAGCGAAGGTGCCTGAGACATCATAATCTTGAGCCGATCTATCTTTCTTGTGCAGCACAGGAATTTCATTTTTATTTCAACTGAAAAAAACGAGTATTAATAATTCCTCACTTTTCGGTTATGAAAAATTTCACACATTCCCAAAAGTAAATAAACGTGAGAATAAGTCCATAAGTGAACGGTACCTTAGCCTTATATGTGATATCTTAATTAAAATTGTGAAATGAAATACAAATTACAACTTAATGGAAAATCTAGAGACGTTATTCTTGTTCTAATTAAATGAAATATATTTTCTTTTTGAAGTCATTAATATTTTATTTTATTTACAAATGAATAAAACAAATCAATTACAAATTCTTTTTAAAAAGAATAACATCAGTTGAAAGTAGTCGACTTTTGTTAGTCATTAAGCATCCCTAGAAAAGAAGATAATTTTTTTTAGCTTATATGATACCAATTCACATTACACCTACTTCTTTTGCATCCCTTTCATTTCATAATCTGTACATTAACTTGCATCTCTCAAGTTTTTCAATTTTGTTTTGTTATCATATCAATTTTTATACTATTTGCATTTCTTTTTTAATACTTACTACAAACACAGCTGCAGAAAAACATTAAACTTATATATATATATATATATATATATATATATATATATATATATATTATCATTTAACTATTAAAAAAGAAAACGTTTTTTCATTAAATTTTTTAAAACAATACCATTTTCACTCTTTTTTTGGTCATGTCGTCATCGTTCGCCTAAGAATTAACTTGTGAAATGTGTTGAAATTATCCAGATTGGAAGTAAAATATTAGAAACAGAACTTAAAGGGATAACATTTATAAAATAATATTAGTTGAAAGGCAAATTTGATAACATTTTTATGAGGTTGTAAATAAGTTATACTATTAATAAATTATTTAATTTCGGTTTTTTAATTATTGTATTAAGTTAAATGAGTAAATTTAAACTTTAAAAGTGGTAGATATATTTTTTTTCACTATTATTTTTTCTTTGTCATGTTCTCCCTGTCGAAAGAAAACGAGTTATTACGACAGCAACCAAACAGTCTGCCATGGCACCAGCCATGTTTTTGAAAAACATGGGTACAAAAATTAAGAAAAGATATAAATATAATAATAATTTCATGCATAAAAAAAAGAAATTTTATTATCCATTTGTCCATTAATCTAATTTTTTTTCCTTGAATAGTGTCTCTTATTTCATGCAAATAACATTTTTATAATATGATAAATAAATCTTAACGTTACAGTTTTTTTTTGTTTTTTTTTTAAGTTGACAAACTAGTGAATTAAAAAAAAAGGAGAAGAATAGCGTAGAGTTAGGAGGTATCGCTTTGCAAATTATTACCAAGGAATAACCCCAAGTTATTTTAAATCAATTACTATACCCAAGTTAGTACAGATTTTTTCTTTTTTGTCTCGCTTTGTTGGGAAGTTTAACTCAAAGTTAACCTAATTTTTGAATAAAATAGTTATTATTAAGATCAAGAAAATAATATATAATAAGAATAGATATCAAAATTTATTAACTTTTGAAGTTAATTTACTAGTTTACTTATAATTAAAACAGAATCTCAAATAGAAATCAATTTCAAATATGAAAAATTTACGATCTTTTTATTTAAAAGTATAAAAATTATAAAGATAAGAGTTTAGTTTTAATATATTATCAATTTAATAAATTTTACACCAATTATGATAATTATAAATGTTTATTTTTTATAATTTTTAAAGTAGTTATTATAAAGATAAACAAATTTATTTTCTTTGTAAATTTATTTCGGAATATTTATGTCTTATTTAATGTGGCAACATCTACTCGCTTCTTCATTTGCCACGTGTATACGCTGACGTGGGACAATCAAAGTTTCCCGGTTCACCAACTGGTCATACTTTTTCACGTCACAGTCATCACCTAAAACGTTAAATAAGGAATATATTACAATCAACCACTCACATAGCAGCTGTGACAAAACAATTCTACCTATATAGGTCCACTTATCATCACCCCCTCTTTTGTCTTTTCTTTTCTTTTCTTTTCTGGCTAACTAAAAAAATATTGTAATTTATGTTTTCCAACTACCGAAGCAAAACTCCGTTGTTTTTCTTTTCTTCCTCGTTGCTATATCCGTTTGCTTCTCCTTCAGTTGCGTTCTCTTTCCCGCAAAATATCCACCTCGATTTTCCTGGAAAATAGAAGAAAACTCTGAACGCAGGTTTGAGCTTTCTCCTATATTTTTCCTCCATGGTTTCTGCGACTCATTGCAATCGTTCTTTTCTCACCGTTGCTGCTGCGATTTTCGTTTCGGCACATGGCGTGTTTCTCTTACTCGAATGCATATACTCGAGGTCTAGGGTTTTGGCCTCTTTTTTCACTCCTTTTCTCCTATCTTAGATGCCAGGACAAAATGTAGCGTTTCATAAAAATCATTGGTGAATTGCGCCTTTGCAATTTCAGAATGAACCGTTATTTATTTCTTTGTTTGGATTGAGAATGGGTGGTTGCTACTGAATACCTCGTCCGCTAAGATGCATTTTGTGGATGAAATGTGAAAACAAAGGTTGCTTATAGAATAGTTTTGTGGGCTAATCTTCGAAATTTAACCTTGCTGTGCTGTGAAGTATGTAATTCATCTCCGCTTCATTGCTTGAGTCATAAACTGCACTGCCGTTCTGTGATATTGTGAGACTTTTGAGAGGAGGAGTGGAAATGTATTAAAATTAAAATATGGTGCCTTAGAAAATAGGATTCATCTGTTTTTTTTTGCTAGTGAACTATTGTGTTGAAATACTTATTTTTGGTATTTGTCTTCTACTACTCTTAGCAGCTGTGGATATTAATTAAGCCGCTGACAACTTTAAGAAGTGACTGTGCGCGTTGTTTAACCTGTATACTGGACATTGTATTCTATATACTTTGAAATCTCTTAGCCGTCTGCACCATTTTTAGTAATGGTGCATCTTGCGTCTGTTTCATAGCATTCCAGCAATAGTGCAATGGGATGATATAAAGATAATTGATGTAACCATCTTGTTTTTGGAGATGATTAAGAATATTAAGACTAAATTTTGTAACAATTTATTTTTTTAAATGGAAAGAGTCTGCTAATCTGTCTTTCTTAAACTTCTTAAATTTGACAATATGGAACATACTTGTGGGATTTTATGTATCTGATCTTTTATTTAGATCCCCTTCCATCAATATAAACTTTTAATATGAGATTGTTGCAATTGGGCACTGTCGGTGGACCTGCGTGTGCTCTATTATCATGTCTAGCTAAAGGTAATTGATATGATGGTGCCCAGCTAATTGTACCAGATTGCACTGTACTTTAGTTAGTAATAGTTAGACGCATCAAAGTTTTTGAATTATTTTGTGACAGCCATTTCTATATTTGATAAAAAAATGGCATGCCAGCTGAGTTCTCGGGTGGTTGACTTTTTCTATCAGCATTTCACACTGTGACACTCTCTATATAGTCATTCATTTAGTTAGATTTTGGGACTTATGATACCTTGATATCTAGAAATTAAATGACGCTTCAGATTATGGTTTTTCCAGAGAAAATGGACTTGGTAGAGCTCGGAGTTTCTGACATTTTATATTTCTAAAATCTATCATTATTAAATCTTCTGTCATAGTCTTAAACTGGATGTGCTTTGTACTAGTTGAACTACCTTTACTTGCTTTGAAAGAGAATTAGGAGTTTCTTTTTTAATATATGTGCATAAATATTATTTCTTAAGTGATTTGATTGCTAATGCAGGATCATTTCCCTATCTCAATTTGGATTTTAGACATGTATCAAAAGCAAATATCATTGTCAGCTGTTGGCGAACTATGTTAGTTCTACATGTTGCATGTAGAAATTGAAGAATTGCTTTTGTACCAGAAAGGTGGTTTTCTTGCATATACTATATCTTACATGGTACTGGTTGCCATATAGAAAGGACAGAAGGAGGGAAAGTTATACAAAGTTGAAGGTTTTGTGGAGTGGAGACCTTAACATTTTGTCTCGTCTATAGTAAAGCATAGAATTGACTATAAATCAAGGGAAGACTATTTGTACAACAGATTCTAAGTTTCAGTTTCTGGTGGTGCATGGGGTTGATTGATATTCTGTGTTCTTCCATATTTCTTTTTACACTAGCTGAGGCCACTAGCAGGTCGGGGACCATGTGGCCCCTAAAAGTAGAAGTGGAGTCGATTGGAACTATCAGCTGGACCGTCTTCAGTTCAATTATATTTGTGTTTGTAGCTGTTGTTCTCTCTACATATCTGATATTTGAGCATTTAGCTGCCTATAATCAGCCTGAGGTATTTTCTTTATGCTCCTTTACTTTTGGATCTTACTTATCTTTCCTCCTGCACCAATAAACTTACTGTTTATGTAATGCCCAGCTTC